CGGTGTACAAAGTCGAAATGTATAGCGTAGTCAATGTTTTGTTTTTACGCGCTCGCTTCCGTTTTTAGAATGTTTTGCTGTCTGTGTTTATTGTGGTTTAGGCTTTAATATCTTGCTTGCATTCCTGTCGTGTGTCGCATTCTCTTTTAATGTGGATTATTTGTCTGCTTTCAAAACACTGAGTGCCTCGTTTATTGATGTGGTCCTTAGTACGTCTGCTGTGCATGGGATTTTCTCTTCTATCTTAGAGTGAAGCAAGGAGTTATTTATTGACTTTTATTTCGAAATTTATTAAAATGACATTTGGTAAATAACTTTAAATAGGTTGGTAAGTAAAGGTAAGTATACATTATTCCATTCGTCATCGGCTATATTTTCATCTATTAGGACGTTCATTAGGGCCTACGTTGAACTAAAATAATGCCTAATCCGCCTAATCCCGTACGGCGCAGGTGTAATTTCGCACACCCACGTAACGTACGTGATGGTATTACATCCCACGTGATAAAGGACGATTTGATTAAAGATAAGAGGTTTGTCAGACACAACATTAATTGAAAATGTTGTAGGTAGCGAAATCCGAAATCCAATTATTTTTCTCTCTATTTGGGAATACATCAACGTTCCTCTTCATTATTTTTTGTGTGAAAAACGATATAGGGTATAAGGTTATTCAAAATATTATTTTAATTAGAAAACAGAAAAAAATTGTTGATGATGTAATAAAAGTACACAAACTTCGCATAGTAACTCAAAACGAACGAGATAACATTTTTTGTTTAAAAATCCTCGGAAATAAATTGAACTAACGTCCGAAAGAGATAAAAACGGCAACTAACAATCAATTTAACCAAGAAAAATCTCCCAGAAGTCATAAAAGGCGATTAAATCAACACAAACATTTTGATCTATAAATAAACAACAAGTTTTATTGGAGTTCTTTGGCGTAAGCGGAACAACCGAATCCTCGGCACATTTTTCAATGAACATCAAATAGATGGTCCTACTTCCTGCCTCTTCTTGGGCTGAGTGGTTCAATACTTTCATAGAACTGTATCATAACGATCGTCTGCCTAAAATAGTATGCCCAAAAAAGAAATAAATCGATCCGTTGGTCTAGTAGTCGTAAATGTATTAAGTCCCGAACACCTATTTAAGTGGTGTTAGGAATGGGAACTTTAAAAATTCATTGTTAATGTGTAAAATTGGAGGGAACACCATCGTGGGCGGTTTTTGTAATAAGGATCCCCGTTTTGTACCCTCTACTTAATGCAACTTGATACAGACACAATTGTCTCACCTTTCCCTTATCATTTTAAAAGCAAAATGTCAGCTAAGTAAAAGTAAAATAAAATGTCAGAAAAATGACCGGCTTTGGACAAATTTAGCGATAAAGACATGACACTGACATACTTGGCAAATTGGGACGGTGTGCTAAAATAACATGAAGATTACCATGTGTCTGATAATGACCTTGAGGTGGTAGATGCTAATTACCTCAGTGTTTTGAAGACGCTGATGAGACGATGTTCTAATTTTAACGACGGGTTCGTAAGTTATGTGATTATGTCTGTATATCAGCGAAATGGTAGAAACATTTTGTCGATCGATTTAGGAAAGATCCTTTAATATTTGTATGTTAAATAATTGTATGTTAAATAACTTTAATCTGAAACAATCCCATACCTTGCATGTCAACTCGTTATTCCGATTTTTTTGTCGAATTGTTCCATTTCTCCCACGAAACGAACACATATTACCCGTATTCAGCAAATTCAAAACATGTGAGAAAAGATTCCGTGAATATTTTGCATTAATAATGTTGTTTAAACGCTTGTGGCGTGCCAAGCGAACCGAACGAGCGATGATGCATACTTCCTGTTGTTCCAAATCTTGGAGACATCCATTTAAGAAGTACTTATTTTTCGTACAATGTTGCTGCTTACTGCTTGGATACAGCCTTTGTCGGGTCCTGGCAACGAATAGGGCCAAGGCCAACCCATCCTCTGCCATTAATCTTGGAATAATGGATTATGCGGCACTCGGCAGAGGTGGGGCATTCACCTGTATGTTAATAACGTGCTAAGGTCATCTATCCACGCCTGTCGACTGTCATGCATGGATTACCTGCAATATCTTACAATGGTGCGTGTGTAGGCGGAAGAGAAGTATTTTATATTCTGAACCGCAATCAGAGAGATTCGTTATGACGACATTCATTCCTAGACTGTTTGGCATGTCTTAATTAAAATTGTTCATAAGTTTTAGTCTCTCAGTCAAGCGTAACCACGCGTCCTTTTACACGTGTTCTTAAAGCCGCTTCCTGTGTTTTTATATTTTTTATCTCTCTAGCATAGTTTATGTTGTAGATTTGGTCTGCTTGTCTTGATGGATCTAAAATCTAAGGCGTGTTTATAATCTTATATTGTTTGCTGAGCCGCTGTTGCTGGATCAGCGATTGCGTCCGGTCAAGCTGAACGGAGATATCGGCTTACGCGCGCTATTTCCTTATCAGGCCCTTGGAAGGTTTTTGTTAAGTGATTCACTGAGGATTTATTCGTACCAGTTGTGGTTTCGGTTACGCATTAATGAAATCCATCCTTATTGAAAAATGGAGTTATGATGAGATCATGGTTTATTTTAAGGGTCTTGCCTTCATTGATCACGACATTCGACTAGTTCGGAAAGATATGTGGCAGCTGGGGGAATTAAACGCCAAGCCATTACAAATGCTAATGGGTTGTTAAAAAGTGTGTCTTCTATGTATTTATTTCTTTCAAAGATTTCATTTTCAAAATTACCGCCAATTTTATCTATGACTTATATCTTTCATCAACCTTATTTCTGGTTAAATACTCTAAGCTTATTTCCCTACCTATTTTATATCAATCGGACTATTTTTTGTCTGTTTATTTATCTCTGTAATCCGTTTAACGACAATGTTGCATGAGTATTCAGAATCGATTTATTGATACTTTATGAATATTTTACACGTTTCTATAGGGATTTTATTATGATTTATTTTCTCCGTTGTCAGTTTTCTTCTCCCCAAAATAGACTTAGGTACAGGTAGGTTAGGTAGAAACTTAGGTCGATTATTAGGTACTGCAAATATTTATTAAACACATACTTGTTTACTGCGAAAATCGATCTTGCGTCTTACCACAGGAAGCTCTAGAATTGGACCGGACTTGTACCTTGAACTTCAATTATTCTTGACCTTGGGCAACCTTGATTGACATCTCCATTCGTGGTCAAGGTTCCCTTGGGTAATGCGTAATATCTTTGTTAAAATTAGAATAAGAAGTCTGTAGAAGCCTTTTGTACCCCAATCTCAGACTGTCAAATGTTTTTGGTCGAGGCTTTCCTAAAACTGAGACTATTTTAAAAAACACCCCCAGAACTTTGAGCTCAGCAGTCATCCTTGCAAATAATGTCTGGTCTTAGTAGGTAACCTTCTTCGTGTGAAGTCATAGTCTTTTAATGCAAATGGACCATGGAAACTTTAAAAATCATTAGTTTGAAACTGTAATAGCCTAGTTGCTTCTAATAATAAAGAACATCATTACAAATATGTGACTAACACAATAGATGCAGTACAAAGTCTATTAGACGTTATTATAGGCGATCTGACTTCTACGTTTGACATCATAGTGTTATTCCGCATATTGTAGTGCAAATTGAAGCAAATTATCGACGCAAATAAGAGCGAATGTGACTAAAGATAGTTATATGGCTCGTCACGTGGTACCAGTGATATTATATTGGTGAAATTGAAATCTAAACTCTAAGCATAAGATTTTTAGGTCGAAAAAATTAATGAAATAAAACAGATGTATAGCTATAGCTCTATCTGGAGGAATAGGACAAAATAAAATGTACTTGTACAAGAAGATGACACCTGAGAATCCATGTTCCCTATTTTGGGAACAATCAATAATATTAAATAAGTTATGTATGAATGTATCAGATAGGTTGATGGGTGATTGTAGAACACGCGTAGTTGCAATAGTAGTGAAACTAAACAGCACCTGCATAAACGTCTTTCAAATGATTCATAGCTCAAACATTTTGAATCTTGTTGTAACGAAATTGAATGTTCTACACAATAGATGGAAAATATTTCTGTGTTAGAGAAATTTGGTCTGGCTAAGTACTCCCAGAGTACAATATTTATGGTGTCCATTTTAGAATCAACTTGAAACCTCATAAATAGCTAAGTTTACAGTAATGGTAAGAACCATAATAATGGACAGATTTATCCGTGGCCCAAACAGGCTGGTTTATGGCAAATAGACAATTATTTATCAAGCGAGCGACCTGTCAGGCCCAAAGAGGCTAAATCTTTGCAATATGTAAGGCTTAGACCGACCGCGATCACCGAAAATTCCGGATTATTCCAGAATATTCCACTTCAGAATTTCAAGTTACACCCAAAAAGGCTGAGACAACTATTACTTAGCAATTTCCTAATCGGATGTTTATCTAGGCAAATAAATGTAATCGAAAACAACTTTCGTTCACTAAAATCGATTAAAGCGACTGTTAAATGCAATTTATTGGGTGTTTATCTCGCCACTCCTTTTCTAGAATATCTGACTTTTAGACACGTTGGTCGTATTTAGTAGGTACTTTACCTAAAGATAATCTTTTGTAAGGTAAGTAGGTAATAAATATAGCAAAACTAAAATAAAGGAAAAAAATCTTTTATCTTGTTGATCGAGTAGAATGTTGAGCAAAGATTTTGATGCCGTTTCTGACGAAAATATGACTGACATTCGATATTTGAAATTATTAATTTGGCAAACGTCTAGGATTAGTTAGGACTAATCCTAGACTAGGGTTTGCCGTGCACTAGGGTGCTGCATGAAGCTGTTTAAAGTACCATATTATGACATGGGACTTGTGACTGACCAAAATTTTTACAAATTGTACAAGTCCTATGTTGGGTTATTTAAGCTTGTGACAAAATTTTAATCAACATTTCATACTTGTTCCAGGTTGAAGAACGCAAGCGCGCGATATGGGAGGCATCAATATCGCGCCGCGAGGCGTTGCTGCAACGCGAACGCGATCGGACGGAGCGGCTGGAGCGGCAGCGAGCCGCTCGCTCCGCTCCCCGGCCGGCCTTCGCATTCGGCTCGTCCACACCTCGATTGCTGGAGCCAGTAGACTCAGCTGGATTCTTCTGGGCCGCGCGCAGGTACGTCTATCAACTGCTACAGTGTTACGTGTTACGCGTTACGCTACACGTTACGGGTTAGGTTACACGTGTGATGTAGGACGTGTTGTAGGATTACGCGCATTCTGTCGATGATCATTGTTAGTTAACGAGACACAAGTTATTTAAATACATTAATATTTACATACAATTTATTTAAATTACATGTACCCAACATGTAAGGAAATGAGAGTGAGTACTTAAAGGTAGCTATCGAAAGGTTCATAGACTTTTTAGATATTTACAAGTTCAGTAAATACTTGTCCAATTCAAGTTTCCAAAACAATTACTTTAAACAATTAAAAACTCGAATAGTTAGAAATTCCATTTGCTAAACTTTCTCTGCGTCCATTTTGCAGTATGGTCGTTGGAATTCATTAAAAGTGTCCGATATTTCGACGGCCAACTAATTGATTGGTTTAGCGAAACCATTGTTTCGGTTGTGTATTGTTTGCAAACAATGATCATTGACATTTTTTTTTGTTTGTACAACATTTGAAGGGTGAAAACCTTTTTGGGACAACTTGCTTCAATTGTAGGACAGAATTTTGAGTTTTATTTCGCTTGGGTTCTATTTTATTAATGAGTTTAGTAAGGTCTGTTGCGAATTTGTCACATATTCATTCTCTTTTTAAACATGGACGTGATTGTGCCGAAATAATTGGAAACGGCATTCTAAGATGAAAGCTAAAGGTTTAAAATAAAACAGAAATGTGTAGTCTAAACGTTTGTCTCAAATGACTACTTTCTTGCGAATCTAATCATCCTTTAAAAGGAGATTAAACTGAACTAATAAAGTAGAGCCTTGTTAAGCTTATCTGGGGTTTATTTTTTAAGTTTTTTTTTTAAGTTGAGTATCTAATTCAAGCTTATTGTTGGGATTTCTCGCTTCGCTTTTTTTTGGGTTCACATGGTGACGGTATCACACGGATCGCGACGGAACCCCAGTAAATAACAACGATAATTTCATTCCTATTTTTGTTTTTTTTTTTAGTTTCTTTTTTTGTGCACTAATTTTGTTTTTTTTTCTTTATTTCCTCCACAACCAGTACCAACCCCATAGATCAGATGAACTTTTTTGAATCACTGTAAGCAGTTTTTTTTCTAAATTTTTTTGTTTTTTTCTAATTTTACTAATTTGAAATGTTTTTTTTTGTTACTAATGATTTAATAGTCAATGTTTAGTCTTGTAGTACCTAGTGCTAGAACAGCGTTGTAAATTTGCTTAAGATGCTAAATTGTACTTAATTGTAGATAGTTTAAAGTAGATTTTTGTGCATGATGCCTGCATGATTTGTGTTTTATAGTTACTTATTTTTATTTATCATTTACTTTAGTGATTCTATTAATTTAGTTGCATTAAAGTTTTTTGAAACCGACTCATATCCTAGTGAAAGTGATGATTTTCTACAAAATGTCCAAACCCAAGACTTTGTGCTATTGATATTGTATTTAGTTGAAAGTAGGTAATGATTAGAGATTATTATTTATATACATAAATATAACAGAAGTAACACCTGATAAACACAAGGGCGATATGATAAGATTTGATGGTTTACTGTTTATACAGAATGCAGCTGATTTTTATATTGATATCACTTTAAAAACATCGATGACGCAGTTGCCAATGTAGGTAGAGGTCATGGTAGAAATCCTTAAATAACATAACATAACATCACGCCGTTATGTCCCCGAAGGGGAAGGTTAAGGTGCACATTACAGCACTTAAGGTCACTGTACAATGTAACACCCACTATTCACTATTTATGTTATGAGACCCATGCAATAGGGGGTGAGCCTATTGCCATATACCGGGCACAATTCCAGACTTCGTGCTACTACAGAGATTTTTTGAAAACCTAGTAATACCTACCTACCTTTAATAATAAAGAGATTAAAGTGGAAATGGGCAGGTCACTTGGTAAGAGGCAAAGAAAAATGGAGCCAAATCGTTACTCAGTGGTACCCAAGAGAAGGTCATAGATTGAGAGGAAGACCTAATAAAAGATGGGATGAGGACATTCGCCAAGTAGCTGGAAATACATGGCTCAGAGTGGCAAATGAAAGGTCAGAATGGAGAAGGTTGGAGGAGGCCTATGCCAACTGGCAAACGGATCTGCAAAAGATTAGTAAAAACCAAATTCGTGAGAGATATTAAATTTTTTGTAACCTTTTTGTTTTTTGTAAATCTGAATAAAAGGCTTTATTATTATTATTATTATAGTAATACCTACTATGCCCGACCCGGGAATCGAACCCGAGACCCCTTGCCACTCGGCCAACGAGGCAGTCTTAATCCTTATATAACTTATACATATATGAAAATTATAACAACACTTTGCTAACTTCAATACACTGAATGGTAATGGACTGATTAGGCAAAATTAAAAAATAAATAAAAAATCAGAAAACGTAAATTAACTCTTTGAGTACCGTCATTATAGACACAATTAAAGAACAATAGGTTGCGGTTACTGGTTTCCTCGCGGTTTTTGACAGTTTAAAAACGAAAAAAAAAAAATCCTAAGATAAAAGTTTTTAGAAAATATAGAAGAAACACTGGGAAGTCAGTCGGAAAATTACATTGAAACCAGATAGGGTCGCTTAATGTAAAAAAAATATTAGGTTCATAGCAGAGTCTTGCTGTCTATAGTTATTTTAAAAACTATGTTTAAAAAAGCCGACGTTAACCCCTTTTTTTGGAAGTCGGTTAAATAATATTATATTAAAACTTTATTCTAAGTAAAACACTTTTGTGAAAACCACATCAAAATCTGTTTAGCCAATCGCGAGACCGCTCAAATACATACAGGTCAAACTGCGAACCTCCTACTTTTTTTGAAGTCGGTTAAAAATGTAAGTCCATGTTTGTTATTGACATTGACATAGGTACGACAATTTTTCCGTGATCTCATGCCATTCTCATACATTAACTTTTCTAATTTATTCGCACAATGCTATTTGACTATTTACCACTGTCTATAATCGGCAAATATTTCAACGTTTATATAATTAAGCATACAAATGTCAAAAGAATCCAGATCCAGATAATTGAATTTTAATCATGAAATAGATTATACTTAATATTATGAATAATACCTAATTTGACTACATAACTTAAAAACCAGTATCGCCATGCTATGCAGCATTTCTATTCATAGACCATGAATGAACAGAATTCCTTTAAATTAAAAACTTATACCTACATTGAACAAACAACATAAACATATTTGCACATCAAACTATACATAACCAGTTTACAGGCCTCGCTTTAGGGCTCGTACACAATATTGGGATGCGACGTCGCATCGCAAACATGTGCGAGCTCCCTCTACGCATCGCAAGAACTTGCGAATTGATTCGTATCGCGCATAAAATCTTATCTTCCCAAAATCTTCTTTGTTCCTCTTTCCTGTATCTCCTAAGCAATAACAGACAGAACACACTTCTTTTTACGATCTATGTCACGACCTAGTTTTCAATTTAAAATATGTTTAGTACGGTTGACAGTCGTAGAAGGAATGGTCACTCTGGGAGACGCCTTGTCGCACGAAATCGCATCGCAGCAATTCGCATCGTAATTCTTTGCGTTGCGAATTCGCATTGCATCGCAGTTTTGTGTACTAGCCCTTATATGATCTTTCCCTATATTCGACAGTCAGATTATACTGGTTGTACGTTATAGCGCTTGTCTACATGAAGAATAGAAAACCAAATTTTATGGAATTGACGTAAATTTTGACACTTGTCAGTGTCATCCCCATACATTTAGTTTTCTACTCTCTCTGTAGACAAGCGCTAAAGTGGCGTTTGGCTAAAGGCACTGATTATTGTGATCTAGCTTTATATGATCTTTCCGCACACTCGGCGGTCAGTGTAAACTGGTTCTGCATAACTTGATATGAAGCCGTGTCTACAAGTCTACAGTCCCAATATTTATTTGTACAAGTTGTAAGAATTATCATAAAAATGTAACTTTGTGAGGAGTTGGCTACGACCAGTCTGTTTTATTTGTTATTTGTGTTTTGCGAACATTTGTGTTGTTAGTAAACTGACATTATGCTTATTTTGCAGTTTGTATAGTGTTTATTGTATTTTCTCGTGTGAATCTTGCGTCTAATCGGTTGTAATCTTATCAATTACAGATTACACTTACTGTACTTACCTATTGATATAATTGTTGCGACTACCTCGTTGGCCGAGTTGCAGGGGGTACGATTCCCAGGTCAGGCAAAGTATTACTGGGTTTTTTAAACATTTTAAGGTAGTAGCACTGAGTCTGGAATTGTGTCACTTTTACCAATATCTTGGTAAATATTTCATTGTGCAGTAGTTTAAGCGTTTTGAGCTTACAAACATACATACAGATACAAATTCTAAAAGCTATCGATAGTTGCTTTCATATACCTACTAAAAAAATACAGACATAAAATTAGAAATGGTGTTATGTTGAAATAATTCAATACACAGATATTACGATGTTCAAGTTCACGCTGAAGTCGAATGTCACTGAACTGTACAGACAACGGTCTATGTGCAGGGCGCAGACAGCCTAGCCCTCGGGGGTGACGCGATATATCGCCCTCTTACACCTAACTAAAAGCATTTCGAAAATGAGAATTTATGTCAAATTATTTTCTTGGGATGTGAAAATTTTATTAGGTCCTCTGTAGCTAAAGGTCTGATGTATTTGTATAATAATACCTATTATAGAGCGATCTTAATACTTATTATCAGAATCTAGTTCTGATTATCGGACCTAAAATGAATATAATTTTAGTTGAAGGAACCATTTTTAAAGGAAAGGAATTTTTTTTTTGTTTATTTTTGACACCCCGCCACAACCTCCCAAATTCGCTGCATCTCCTGTAAGCCAGGATCTACAGTAGATACAACCATGGAAACACCGGAACACTGAATTTCATCGAGTCCCAGGGATATAAATAACTGTCTTAGGTCCTACAACGAAATAAATCGGAAAA